AAATGAAAACGACTTCAGCTAACAAGAGAATAGACATTCAGAAGAAGTGGTTAATAAAAATCACTGCTGACTTCTCACTAGAAGGTATGTAAGCCAGAAAAATGGAATGATATATTTAAAGTGCTGAAAGGTGGGGAAAAAAATCAGTCTAAAATTCTCTGCCCAGTGAAATACTTTAAAAAACAGACACAAAATGACATTTCCAGATAAGTAAAAATAGAAGTTGTCAGTATACATGCACTAAAGAAATTTTGAAAGATCTTCAGGCTGAAGGAAAATCATACTGGGTAAAAACTGAGATTTACATAAAGGAAAAAAGAAATGTTAAGAAACGGTAAATATGTGGGTCTGAAATATGTAGATTTTAAATCACACATTTCCACATAACTCGTGAATGAAGAAGTCACAAGAAACTTAAAATGTTTTGAACTGAATAATACTAGAAACATGACATATCAGAATTTGAGGGATGCAGGTACTAAATTACTGAAGTAGTGCTGTATGGCTGTACATGTTTATATTAGGAAAGGAGAATAGTGTAGTCTGTGGTCTAAGTCTCCTACTTAAGAAGCAATAAAAATAATACTAAATTAAACCCAAAGCAAATAGAAGGAAAAGATGATAAAGTTTGGATATTCACAGATTATAAAACATAAAAACAATGGAGAGAATTACAAACTGCTAGCAAATTATTTAGGAAAATACTAAGAGCAGGAAGAAGGAAAAATATCACTATAGGTGTTCCGGCATTGTAGAATAATTGGGGAATACAAACCATTCTCTGTATTCCCAGGCTCTTTATCTGTGTATCAAGTAACTATGAATGGAAATAGTCAAGAAAAATATAAAATAATGCAATAATAAAAAATAAGAATTAAAAAGAGTATAACAATTGTTTGTATTAGGTATTATAAGCAATATTTACATTGTATTAGATATAAGCAATCTAGAAATCAAAGTATACAATAGAGTATATGTAGCTTATATGCACATGCATGTCATTTTATATAAGGGACTTGACCATTTCCACAGATTTTGGTATCCTCAGGGGATCGTGGAACCAATCCTCCATGGATACTAAGGGATCGCTGTATAATGAACAACTACATGCCAATAAATTCAACAATTTAAGCTACATAGGCTAATCGACCAAACTGACACAATGAGAAATAGAAAACCTGAAAAACCTTACGTTAAAAAGAAAAATTAATAATTATAAACTTTCCCACATAGAAAACTTGTGACCCAGATGGCTTCACTGATTAATTTTATTGAAACTCAAGGAATAAATCATTCCAGTCCTACATAAACTCCTTCAGAAAATCAAGGAGGAAGGAATACTTCTCATTTTATGAGGGTAGCATTAGCTTGATTCTAAAACCAAATATGACAAGAAAACAGCAGATCCATATCTTCTTTGACTATAGATGCAAAGAGAAATCCTAAATGAAGTAGCAAATAGGGTCTAGCAAACTGTAAAAATTCATCACGACCAAATGAGTTCATACCAGGAGGTCAAAACAAAGATGTAAGTTTGTGATGCTGACAAGTAATTAGTACCAAGAGAAATTACATTCAAAACCACTTAAGTTTAAATAGCTTGTACTTATTTCTTTTAGCAAGCTTAAGTGGTGGCTGAAAGCAAGCAAGGATGGGAATTGAAGTCATAATGCTACCTTTCTGGGGAATGAGTGATCTCCCACTGACCAGTTGGTCTCCACTCACCAATGTCTTTGATCTTTACTAGAGACAGGGACCCCACATTATGGTCAGCATGTGGTGGTCTGTGATCAGTTTTGCATACTCTAGAAAGATTCAGGGAGTCAATGGCAGACCAGGCTTTTATATGCTAACTGGGGAGTTGGGACACTCTGAATATGCTGGTGCATTAGTTATATGCTAATTGGTTACACTGTAAATTATGTAAACCATTAACATTGATTATATAAGTTGTTTACATAAAATGTTTGACTTTGGGGTATAACATGTTGATCTTGTTTGAGCAAGTTAGCCATATATTTATCTGTAACATCTTAATTATTAACAATCTTACTTTTTTTAGAAAAACATGTTTTCTAGGAAGGAAACATTTTTGTTTACCACTTATAAGCATAGCAAACATGTTTTATTCCTCCTATTAAAATGTAGGATAAGTTACCCTCTACAGAAAATTTATTTCAGGCCGGGCTTGCTGGCTCATGCCTGTAATCCAAGCACTTTGGGGGCCGAGGCGGGTAGATCACTTGAGGACAGGAGTTGAAGCCCAGCTTAGCCAATGTAGTGAAACCCTGTGCCTACTAAAAATACAAACAATTAGCTGGGTGTGGTGGTACATGCCTGTAATCTCAGCTACTCAGGAGGCTGAGGCACAAGAATCACTTGAACCTGGGAGGTGGAGGTTGCAGTGAGGAGAGATCGCACCACTATACTCCAGCCTGGGCGACAGACCAAAACTCTGTCTCAAAAAAAAAAGAAAATTTATTTCATATATCACAAAGCGTCCGATGTGATTTGGTTTACTTAAATTTAATCTGGTATTGCTATTTTTCTATATGAGTATAATTTAGTGTAGTATATGAACATAACAATGATTTTTATAATCCTAACTTGAGTATCAGAATATCTTTACCAGAAGTACAATAATATGAGTTCTATGACATTTTTTTCTGTTATATTTCATTATTCACTAATCATCAATATTATAGCCAAACCAAATTGCATATTATAGGGGAATTTTCCTACTGGAGCAATACTTAATGTTTAAGATCATCTTTGATTGCCCTATGCTTACTTCTAGGCCATACTTCTGCAAGTCCTATCAACTTTAAAATGAACCTTGAATCTGTCCTTTTATCTACATATCTTTGTCTCCCCTCCCCTTCCCAGTCAAAGCCATTTTTATATTCAGTGTTTTAGAATAGGCTATATTTAGTGTTACAAATTAGCGTCCTAATCTCAGTGGTTTCACACAGCAGAGGTGTACTGTGGCTTACATAAAGTCCAGTGTGATCTAGGCTATTCTCCTCCTCCATTTTGTAGCTATATTATCTGCACTCGTGGTTTTGAAGATCCTCAGGTGACCTGGAAATGACAATGTCACTTTTGCTTACAGCCCATTTGGTCAGAACTAGTCAAATGGCTCCAACGTAAATGCATAAGCCTGGGAAGTGTAGGGTGGCACGTGAAATATTTGGAGATCACAATGATCTGTACCACACCCAGATTATTATAGGTAACATCTTAGTTGTTTTCCTTACTTTCTTTCATTTCCTACTACAGTGCTTTCTCCACCTAGTAGCCAAAGTTCTTGGGAAAAAGAAAAAGATTGTTACCACCTTGCCAGTAGTTTCCACTTTGTTTTAAAATCCAAACATTTTATCCTCACCTGTGCAAAATACTACGTGCTAGGGCACTTGCCTTCTCTAATTTCATGATTGGCATTTAGTGTTGCTAACTGTTATCTATGAATAGTGTATTTTGAATAGGCATTTTATTTTGTCCAGTTATGAAAATGTGATTTTTAAGTGTCAAATTTATGAAACCACAGTAATGACTATAAACAATACATAATAATACCAAGAGAAATCGTCAATCATATGGTGTCTTTAATCACATTGTATGCAATTAGAATCCTTAAAAACAGCAGCCTTTCAGAAACATTGATATAATGTAAGATCCTGTTATAGTGAATGAATTCTATATAGCAAAGCCATAATAATTGTGTTCTGTTTATCTGACAGCAAATGATCTCTTAGAATAAATATTTTCTCCGATTAAAGATTATTTGAAAGATATTCCATTATGGTCCAGTGCATTTTAAAAAATTAATAAACTATTTTTTAGAGCAGTTTTAGGTTCACAGCAAAACTGAGTGGGAAATACAAAGAGTTCCCACATATTCCCTGTTCCCACATACTACAAACGCACAACCTTTCCCACTGTTAATATCACACACCAGAGTGGTGTATTTGTTACAATTGATGAACCTACATTAACACGTCATTGTCACCCAGAGGTCATTATTTACATTAGTCTTCACTCTTGGTGTTCTACAGTCAGTGGGTTTTGACAATAAATGAATTTTTAGATAAGTTTTTTATAAAGTTTATATGTTGTCATTAAGTCATTGTTGCCCTACAGTTATATCTTCAGTTTCTGTCAGTTTTTTTTTTTTTTTTTTGTGGCAATCTGCATCTCCTAATTAAATATCACACACATATACCACCCATAATCCCCAATAATTTTTCTCTAGCTGTAGTGCTCTTGCCAAATGACAGAGGTACTAGGAGGAGCTAGGAATCAACCCTTATTTTTAAATATGCATGAAAGAAAGGCTTTATATAAATTCTTTGTGATCTCGAGGTTGTGAATCCTAGGAATCAGATTTTTAATGAACTGTTTATCTTAACAAATATTTTAAGGTCTATATATTTGGTATGCTTATTTGAAATGTAGCAGAGCATTTATATTTTTTATAATTTTTGATGGTTTTTAAAAAATGATTTAAGTAGTTAGCTAATAATGATGCCTATTTTAGCAAATAAAAATTACTTATAGTAAAATTGAATATGCTGCAGTTTATTACATGGACTTAGATTTAGCACCATTCAAATGGATTGTCTGGTACTTGACATCTACTTACATGTAAGTTTTATGTAACAGTTTTTACATGGTGTTTGCATTGTCATTCACGTTTCCTTTTCTTTGCTGATTTATCCCTGTTTAAGACCTTCTGCATTGATAAAGAATTGAGTAGCAGAGGAATTATCCTACTACAGGGTATGTAATATTTAATGAAAATGGGTATTTGTGGGGTGGAAAGGTAAGAAAATTAAATCTTTTTCTTTGATAAGAAGTCAATCTGCCATTCTGTCTTCCTGTAATTACATGTTGTAGAAAGGAAATTTGCTTTTATTATGGGAGTTAAGGAATTATTAAGCAGTGTCTGTGAAACTTGATTGCTTTTGTACTTTGAGTAACAGCGTTTATTTTGTTCACAGTAACTGTAGTACTGAATGGAAGTGGCTTGTAGACAGAGCACGAGTTGGCAGCCGATGGACTTGGCTTCAAGCCCAGATTTCAGACCTAGAATGCAAAATCCAACAACTAACAGACATTCACAGGCAAATTCGTGCCTCCAAGGTATTGTCTGTCTGTGTTCTTCTACTTTTGTTGAAAATTGTTAATGTTTTCATTCCTTCTCATTTCATCACAAAAATAATTGTTACAAGGTTTTATAAGAATGTAGCCAGTTTATGTCAAAATGTTTGGTATATTAGTTATTATAAATTGAAGCTATCTTTGTAATGGCTTTTTGTATTTAAGATCATTTTATCGTACTTTTTGAGCAATTCAGAACTTCCTTATTGGATTCCAGTTAATGTAAGTGATAAACTTGTTTTCAAATTTCTAAATCATAAAATACATATAACAAAAACCTTACCATCTTAACCATTTTTGAGTGTATAGTTGTGTTATTAAATACATTCGTAATGTTATTCATGTGTCACTATCCATCTCTATAACTCTTTTTACCTTTTAGAACTGAAGCTCTGTACCCATTAAATAATAACTACCCACTCCTCTCTCCTCAACCCCTGGCAACTATGTCTGTCTCTTATGATTTTGACTATTTTAAGTACCTCATATAAGCAGAATCATAACAGTTTTTGTCTTTTTGTGGCTAGCTTATTTCACTAGCATAATGTTCTCAAGTTTCATAAATATTGTAGCATATATTAGAATTTCTTTCCTTTTTAAGATTAATAATTTATTGTATGTATATACCACATTTTGCTTATTCAGTCATCCGTTGATGGACACTTGTGGTGGTTCCAGTTTTTAGCTATTGTGAGTATGCTGTGAACATGGATATTAAAATATCTCTTTGAGACGCTGTTTTCAATTCTTTGGGGTAAACACCCACAAGTGGAATTGCTGGATCATATGGTAACTCTATTTTTAATTTTTTTGTGAATCTACCATACTGTTTTTCACAGTGGCTATACCAGTTAACATTTCCACCAGCAGTACACAAGGTTCAAATTTCTCCAGATTCTTGCTAACATTTATTTTCTGTTTATTTTATAGTAACCATCCTAATGAGTGTGAGATGGTATCTCATTTTACTTTTGATTTGCATTTCTTAATGATTAGTGATGTTGAACATCATTTCATGTGTTACTGGCTTGGCTTTTGGATATCTTCTTTGGAGAAGTACTTATTCAAGTCCTTTGCCCATTTTTGAATGGGGTTGCTTGCTTGTTTATTTTCTTGTTGCGTTTTAATTCTATATGTATTGTGGATATTAATTTCTTATCAGATATATGATTTATAAATATTTTTCCTATTCTGTGTGTTGCTTTTTTTTTTTTGAGGCAGAGTCTTGCTCTGTCACCCGGGATGGAGTACAGTAGTGTGATCACTGCTCACTGCAGCCTTGACCTCCCAGGCTCAAGCAATCCTTCCACCTCAGACTCCCAAGTAGCTGAGACTAGAGGCTCGTGCCACCATGACTGGCTAAGTTTTTGATTTTTTGTAGAGATGGGATCTCCCTTTGTTGCCCAGGCTGGTCTTGAACTCTAGACTCAAATGATCCCCGAACCTCGGCCTCTCAAAAAGTGCTGGTATAACAAATGTGAGCTCCTGTGCTCAGCCTTGTTCATTGCATTTTTACTCTGTTGATATTATCTTTTCCTGCCCAAATTTTCAAAATTTTTCTGAAGTCCCATTTGTCTACTTTTTCTTTTATTACCTGTGCTTTTGATGTCATATCTAAGAAATCATTGCTAAATCTAATGTCATGAAGCACTTACCCTATATTTCTTCTTAGGGTTTTATAGTTTTAGGTTTTACATTGAGGCCTTTGATCCATTTTGTGTTAATTTTTGTGTATGGTGTTAGGTAAGGGTCCAGTTTCATTCGTTTTCATTCAGATATTCAGGTTTACCTGGTTGAAAAGACTGTTTTTCCATTGAATGGCCTTGGATTGGAACCTTTGTCAAAAAACATTTGACCATATATGTTAGGATTTATTTCTGGGTTGTCTATTCTATCCCATTGGGATATAGGTCTGTCTTTATGCCAGTACCACATGGGTTTTTTTGTTTTTGGTTTTTAATTTCTTTTCTTCTTTTTTTTTTTAAATAGAGACAGAGTTTCCCTATATTCAAGACCAGGTTGGTCTTGAACTCCTGGGTTCAAGCCATCCTCTCACCTCAGCCTCCTAAAGTGCTAGGATTATAGGCATGAGCCACCATGCCTGGCCAGTATCACATTGTTTTGATTTCTGTAGTTTTGTAGTAATTTTTGAAATCAGGACATGTGAGTCTTCTAGATTTGTTATTTGTTTATATATATTTTTGAGATAGAGTCTCAGTATGTTGCCAAGGCTAGAGTGCAATGGCATGACATCAGCTCACTGCAACCTCCACCTTCCAGGCTCAAGTGATTTTCATGCCTCAGCCTCCTGAGTAGCTGGGATTACAGGCATGCACCACCATACCCAGCTAATTTTTGTGTTTTTAGTAGAGACAGGATTTCGCCATGTTGGCCAGGCTAGTCTTGAACTCCTGGTCTCAAAGTGATCTGCCTGCCTCAGCATCCCAAAGTGCTGGGATTACAGGCGTGAGCCACCGAGCCCAACTCTAGATTTGTTTTTTTGTTGTTGTTGTTGTTGTTTTTTCTTTTGATGTTGTGTTGGCTTTGAGGTCTCATGAGATTTTGTATGACCTTTAGGATAAGTTTTTTCTGTCTATAAAAAGAGTTGTGGAGATTTAGATAGGGATGCACTGAAACTCTAGATTGCTTTGAGTAGTTTTGACATCTTAACAACATTAAGTCTTTCAATCCATGAATGTGGGTTGTGTTTCCATTTATTTATATCTTCTTTAATTTCTTTCAGCAATGTTTTGTAGTTTGTACAAGTCTATCAACTCCTTGGTTATTTATTATATTCTGAAGTGTTTTTTTCTTTTTGATTCTCTTGTAAATATAATTGGTTTTGTGACTTTCTTTGCAGATTGTTCATTGTTAGTATATAGAAATGCACCTGACTTCTGTGTCATGCCACTCACTCCTGACCTGTAAGGTTTCCCACTGAAAAGTCTGCTACCAGACATATTGGAGCTCCATTGTATATTGTTTCTTTTCTTGCTACTTTTTGAATCCTTTCTTTATTCCTTCCCTTTGGGAGTTTGATTATTAAAACTACTTGAGGTAGTTTTCTTTGGATTAAATTTTCTTGGCGCCCTATAACCTTCTTGTACTTGAATATTGATATCTTACTCTAGATTTGGGAAGTTCTTTGTTATTATCCATTTGAATATATTTTCTATGCTGATCTCTTTCTCTTCCTCCTCTTTAAGGCCAGTATCTTAGGTTTGCCCTTTTGAGGGTATATTTTGGATCTGGTAAGTGTGCTTTATTATTTTTTATTCTTTTTTCCTTTGTCTCTTCTGACGGTATATTTTCACATATCCTGTCTTCAAGCTCACTAATTTTCTTCTTTTTGGTTAATCCTGTTGTTAAGAGACTCTATCTAGTGCAGTCTTCAGAATGTCAAGTGCATTTTTCAACTCCAGAATTTCTGCTTGTTTCTTTTCAACTGTTTCAGTTTCTTTATTAAATTTATCTGATAGGATTCTGAATTCCTTCTCGTGTTACCTTAGATTTCATTGAGCTTTCTCAAAACAGCTATTTTCAGTTCTCTGTCTGCAAGATCACATATCCCTGTCTCTCTGGCATTGGTCTTTGGTGCCCTATTTAGTCCATTTGATGAGGCCATGTGTTCCTGGGTGTTCTTTATACTCGTAGATGTTCATCTGTGTCTGGACATTGAAAAGTTAGGTATTTATTAGTCTTTGCAGTGTACACTAATTTGTACCAGTCCTTCTTGAGAATGCTTTCCAGATATTCAAACAGGCTTGGGTGTTGTGATCTAAGTCATTGGTCACTGCAGTCATATCCCCAACTTTAGTAACGCTGCATCTTTTGTAGACTCATAGAGGTACTACCTCAGTAGTCTCGGGTAAGATCCAAAAACATTCTCTGGATTACCAGTCAGAGACTCTTGTTCTCTTCCCTTACTTTCCCCCAGGGAAACATAGTCTCACCCACTGTACTGAGCTGCTTGGAGCTAGGAGAGGCATGACACAAGGACCACTGGGACTGCACAGGGTCAGATCCGAAGACAGCACAGCACTGGTCTCACCTAAGGCCCACAATGACCACTACCTGGCTATCGTCTGTGTCTCCTCAAGGCCCAAAGGTTCTACCATCAGCAGGTGGCAAATCCACTCAGGCTTGTGTCCTTCCCTTAAGGGTGACAAGTTCTCCCCAGCCCCAGGTGGGTCTAGAGATGCCATCTTGGGCCTCCACCTGGTGCTGTATTCTACTGCAGCTGAACTGACACCCAAGTCACAAGACAAAGTCCTCCCTACCCTTCCTTCCTCTTTCCTCAAGGAGAGCAGTCCCTCCCCATGGCCACCACTGCCCCAGGGCCACAGCAAGTAGTGCCTCTCTATGGCCAGTGTTTACTAAAGGCCCAAGACTTCTTCATTCAGCTTTTGGTGAATGCTGCCAGTCCTGAGTCTCTCCCTTCAGGACAGTGGGTTCCCCTCTGGACCAGGGTAGGTCCAGAAACGCTTGGTGCTTTACCCCACTGTGGCCAAGCTGGTAACTAAGCTGACTTTTAGTTCTTACAAAGATGCTCTTTTATGTGGCTAGTGTTCAATTTGGTGTTCCTATGTTGGGAGGTAGTGGGGGTACAGTTGCTGGAGTCTTCTTTTCAGCCATCTTGTTCTGCCTCCCCTCTCTCATGTTATTTTTATGGCAACATTTTTATTAGAATAGATTTAGGGGTAGATATTGGTATCAACAGGTGATTGGTAGAAAGAAAGGAGAGTTTTGGAAAGTTCTCGGACATGTGCAGTTATCGCTTCATGCTAACTCATGGGTTGCATCAAGGGGGTGTTAATACGAAACATGCAGTGGAAATTTAGGCTGTGATGTCAGTAAGGTCATTCTGTGCAAACTCTTGGTTTTAACTGATTTTTGCCAGTTTATTCGTGTTCTCACAAGGTTAGAGAGTTTTGGCGTCTTAGTGGGTTATGTCTTTAATTATCTGCTATCCTACAAACTCA